CCGCTTTGGCGTCGCATCTCGCAATCCTTCCCTGCGCGCAAGAGTTTATCTATCTGCCATCTGGAGAATTACGTTCATAATTCTCAGGCGCAATCACATCCTTCAATTTACCCGTCTAGACTCATATTAGCCATACATCATGGTGCGATCTCTGCCAAAGAGGAACAACCCGTTCGTCCTCCCGGACCAATCCCCTTCGTGTAAGTTGAAACTTCACCATTTATTTCGCATCCTCGGCTCCAAAATCGCTCTCGATGCTTCGACCAGGAGGCGCTGTACGACATGAGCATTACGCAGGGCTAACCCGTTCCTTCCGGAGGGAGAACAGATGAGGAACTCCTGGCGCTCCGCCGTCTAGGAAAAACCAACCTCGCTGTCAAGCCTACGCAGATTGGAACGTCCAACGCAACTAAGCCTGAGAATCTGGGCCCCTTTGAATATGCCCATCTGCGCGCGAAGCTGCCAAAAGACCTGAAAGGCTCCGAGATTTTCGCGTCGCATGCCCCTCAGCAGCACCCGGAGACCTACTTTCTCATGGTGAGTGGAACCGCTTCGCACTTTGTTGATGGTCACAGTGACCGATTCTGATCACTTTCATTCAATCAGCGACGAAGCAAGGATGGATATGTCAGCGCTACTGGAATGTTCAAGATCGCGTTCCCATGGGCGAAGTTGGAGGAAGAGAAGGCTGAACGGGAATACTTGAAAACTCGGGAGGGTACCAGCGAGGATGAAATCGCCGGCAATATCTGGGTCAGCCCCTTACTAGGTAAGCACGCCTGGAGATCACCAGTACTCCTAAATGAATTTTCCTCTGATGGTCCATAGCGTTGGAGTTGGCCAAGGAATATCAGATGTACGATTGGGTTCGCGCTCTGCTCGATCCCACAGAGATCCCTCAAACCCCAAAGAAGCAGATTACACCTCCTCCCAAGTTTGAACTCCCGCCCATTGAAGCCCCGACCCAGCTGTCTGCCCCATCGCAGCGTACGAGAAGGGGACGGTCTGCTTCGCCCAGTAAGAGAGCCACCACCTCCCCTCGCAAACCGAGAAAGACTCGCGCAGCCAAGGAGGCGAGTGCGGAGGATGCCAGTGCAGCAAGCGCCAGTCTTCAGAACGCTTTGGACATGACCGCGTCTAACGCTGATGCTGGATCAGCCAACGGAACTGTCGAGCCTAGTGTGGAGGGATATGTCGAAGAGAAAGTGGTCACCGTCACAGAGCCCACAACCAAGCCCACTTCCAGGAAGAGAGTCGCCGCCATTGCTGAGGAGGATGAGGTCGAAGAAGAAAAAGTCAAGGTTGACGTCAAGACGACTGCCGACACGGTGGACGACGTTAGAACCACTCAGACGACGATCTCGGTCGAGATGCCTGTTAGCCTCCCGGAGGCACCTTCTGCAGAGGACACCGAGAAGATGATCGCCAAGGCCAAGGAAATGGTCGAGGAAGCCATCAAGGTCCAGACCACCGAAGGTGAACAGCCGGAAGCCTCGTCACCCAAGGGCGCCAAAAAGCGCAAGACCGACATGCTCAGTGAAGATGAGGAGGATGATGAGACCAGAGCGGCCTCGGCCCTGCGCGCCAAGAGGGCAAAGGTCCTGGAAGAGAAGCTGAAGCGGGAGCGTGTGAGGAACCGTGCCTTGGTCGGTGTTACGGCTGTCTTTGCACTTGCGTAAGTATCTGACACCCACTGGTGTAGGATTCTGTTCTAACGATATACACCAGGGCTTCCATTCCCTATTTCTTCTAGGAAATCCAACCCGCCTCTTCCCTGGTCTTCGAGGGCCAGGAGCAGAGTATGATTACCCGTATGAAATCATGCTGTATCGAGTTCAATTGTTCCGGAAATGGTCCAACACGATCCCCGCCCTCCACCGCACTCTACCTTGGTAGAAGAATTGTCTGATGATGCTCCAGACTGAAGAGAAGCGTCCAATCCTTCCTACCGAACCTCCTCCCCCTCACATGCCTGTTCCTCTGTGAAATTTCCCTGCCAGCCTTCCCCTGCCTTTCCTCCAATGAAACCCGTCACATTGCCATTTCTATATCTCATCCCGGTGATTCTTGATGTACTGTATTGATATTCTATCGGTTTTTCTAATAATTACCCTTTTGTTGAAAAAGGGGAATATTCCTGTCCATAGGTCTTGCGGGTATCTGCAGCTTTACTCTGCCAATGGTGTTCGGTTGGGACATTGAAAGCGAGGAGCTTTGCATCTCTATTCCTTCTTTCTCCGTTACTCTCCCCTTGTTCTTTACTTGGTTTCTGGATACCTGATCTACGGCATCTCGTCTCCGTTTCTTCTCTGAAGGCCCCTTGCCCTCCTCACTGTTGGACACTAGAGAAGCAATGCATGCAGTATGATATGAATGATTGACTCTAGCAGTCTTCTAAGCACTGTAGGTTAGTTGTATTGTGCGAACGCATATAGAAAGATAGCGTACCATACCTTTTTTTGTCTGAGCACTTGGATGTGTCAAATCAAATGATTTTATTTTTGGTAGCAATAGATAGTAATCACCCCTCAGTTTATTTATATTGAGGTCTGGGGGATGATAGGACGAATCGATCCGCACTGCAAACATTCCAAACATCACCACAATCATGGAGCTTCCAAGAGCTCCAGCACCCCTTCTCGACCCTTCAGCTTCACGTTCAGTCACAGAAACAGGGACAAATATCTATGATAGTCTTCTGAAAATTTAGTACTTGCCTATTCATCTCTACAGCACAGCGATGCAATGTCGCTCCCTGGTTTAGAGCTCTCGCAGACCTCATCGGAGAGGGAGTTTGTCCCCGCACCGCCAACACAGATTACCTTGTCCAAGGGCTCAGAATGGAGATTTGAGGTTGCATTTGGCACAGCTATACGAGTCAAGGTGGGTAATAGTGATGAACAGGCTTGATTACTATCACCCCTTGATGACGCATCGCAATGGCTAATACAACTTTTCCTTTATGTTGCTGTAGCTATTGGCCGGCACCGCAGAGCTTTTCGGCACGGAACTAGCTGCATCGCAGACGTATACCTTCTCCGGGACGAAAGCGGCGATCTACACCTGGCACGGCTGCACGCTCGAGGTCAGCGCCGGCGATACGATATCGACGATAGATGGACTGGGATCGGCGGGTCTGAACGGGGAGGGGGCCCGTGGCTACGGCGCGGGCGGCTGCCAGAGCGAGTATACGGCCGAGGAGACGCCGATGGTCGAGTATGCGAATGTGCATTTTGCGCTGGAGACGATGCGCCAGGAGGCCAAGGCTATGGGCAAGGACGGGCCGCGGGTGCTGATTCTGGGGCCTGAGAATGCGGGGAAGACGAGCGTGGCGAAGATCCTGACGGCGTATGCGACTAAGGTCGGGAGGCAGCCGATTGTGGTTAATTTGGATCCGGCAGAGGGGATGCTCAGCGTCCCTGGGACACTGACGGCGACGGCGTTCCGGACGATGATGAATGTTGAGGAGGGGTGGGGGAGTAGTCCCATGTCGGGGCCGAGTGCAGTGCCTGTCAAGCTGCCGTTGGTTTATTTCTATCCGTTGCAGAATCCGCTTGAGGCGGAGGGTGCTGTTTATCGGCCTATTGTGTCGCGGCTGGCGCTGAGTGTGACGGGGCGGATGGCCGAGGATGAAGATACGCGCGAGACGGGTATCATCGTTGATACGCCGGGGATTTTGAGCGCTGGCAAGCCGGGTAGTCTTGAGATTATTAACCATATCGTGACGGAGTTTGCAAGTAGGCTTCCTTCTTTTCTGCTCCCCTTGGCTATGAGACTGACCTGTACAGTTACGACCATCCTGGTCATAGGCTCGGAACGGCTTTACAGCACCATGATGAAGAACTACGACAACAAGCCGACGTCCAGTGCGTCTGCCGCGGCGTCGGATGAGAGGATCACTGTCGTGAAACTCTCCAAGTCTGGCGGCTGCGTGGACCGCGACGCAGCTTTTATGAAAGCAGTGCGCGAGTCGCAGATTCGGACATACTTCTTCGGCAATCCTATTCCTTCTACGGCATCGGCGGCACTCTCGATGTCTGCGTCTTCGACAACAAACGTGACCCTCTCTCCCCATGCCCAACAGCTCGATTTCGACTCCTTGGCCGTTTACAACTACACAGTCGCCTCTTCAGATGAAGACGAGGACGAATACGATCCGTCGCAATTTGGCACCACTGATACATTCCTTCCTGGAGGAAGCAATGACGCAGAGGGTCAACAGTCCAAGCATGCCGAGGAGGCATCGTTCGCCTCCTCCGTGCCTGGCTTAGCAGGATCGTCAAGCGATGATGCAGCATCAGGCAGCTCGGCTGTACCCCTGAAAAAGGTTCCACCTCCCGCACCGCACACGCTCGCCAATTCCCTGCTCGCAGTTACACACGCCGCGCCGAATGCCAGTCCGGCAGAGATTCGCGATGCCAGTATCATGGGATTCCTGTACGTGGCCGATGTAGATAGCGATAAAGGCAAGATTCGGGTGCTGGCTCCGATCGGTGGGCGAGTACCGCCAAGAGCCATTGTCTGGGGTAAGAAGTGGCCTGGAGAGGTGGTCGGGTTGGTGGGATAGTCATGCATGATATATAGCGGGTACAATCATTTGACAGGGTGTTAGAATTGGAGTTGGGTGCACGGGCTGGGATATTTGTATATAAGAGAGATAATGTATTCTAATTGGATCGGCTTCGCTATGCATTGAGTAGCAGTCAACTAGTAGCTTCTCCATACTCCCCAAGCAAGCCTTGTTATTCGGTAATTCTCTAATCTGGGGTTCATGATGTTTCCGTGCTATTTATGCAGTCTCAGGATTGAATAAATAATTCATTCATACAAATTTGACAAGTTTATAACTATTTATATAAATTAACTCAAAAGAGACTACTCCCTACTCATGTGCTGTTGACGCGTATAACTACTCGGTGGAACAGAACAACCCCATACCAAAATCCCCCAACACCAAACCACCAGCCCAACGACCTTGAACCCACACCTCACACAACACCATGCTCTACAGCTGCTACCGCCGCCGCCGAAAACTCAAACGCCTCGTCGTAATGCTCCTCCCCATCCTCCTAACCGCCCTCCTCCTCTCCCCCCTGTACCTGATCTACAAACCGCCAAGCCTCCTCATCCGCTACCTCCAACACCGCTACCCAGACGTCCTCTTCCACGTCCCCCTCCCCAGCCACAAGAAGCTCGTCGCGCTGACCATCGACGATGCCCCCTCGCAATACACGCAAGAGATAGCAGCAACGCTAAAAGCGCACAGCGCGTCCGCGACGTTCTTCGTGATTGGGTCGCAGATCGACGGGGACGGGCGCGAGGCTGTGCTTGCGGACCTGGTGCGCGCGGGCCACGAGTTGGGGAACCATGCTATGCGGGATGAGCCGTCGCGCGCACTAAGCGATGAGGTGCTCTCGGCGCAGATTGCGGAGGTGCAGGCGAGGATAAGTCGGGTGTATACGAGGGCTGGGGTCGAGGAGCCGCGGGTTAGGTGGTTTCGGCCGGGGAGTGGGTTCTTCAGTGAGAGGATGAGGAGGTTGGTTAGGGCTCTGGGGCTGAGGATTGCGCTGGGGAGTGTGTATCCGCATGATCCGCAGGTGCCGTATGCGTGGGTGAATGCGGCGCATATCCTGAGTATGGTGCGGCCGGGGAGTGTGATTATCTGCCATGATCGGAGGAGTTGGACGGGGCCGATGCTCGCCAGGGTTTTGCCCGAGTTGAAAAGAAGGGGGTATCGGGTTGTGACGCTGAGTGAGTTGGTGAAGGAGGCGGAGGGGTCATGAGGTGAGGCTACGAGGCTACAGAGGCAGTTTTGATCTGGTGCGTTCCGTTGTTGATACATGTCTATAGAATACCCATACCCAAACCCATACCCATACCCATACCCATGCCCATATTACCGTACATTGTGTAACGCAAAGAACAAGGCTGATCGCCCGCGATAGCCTGTCAACATGATTCTTCAACCTCACTCCCACCTCCTCCACTCGAGCAAGGTCCTCCGCAGCTCGGCGTCACAGTCATAACCCTTGCGCTCCTCCTCCAACAACTCCTCTCGTCGTTCCCGAATGTGCTGCTCAACATCGTAGCGCTTCAGTGCGATGAGCTTTAGGTACGCCAGATCGTTTCGCTGCACGGCGTCGCGGAACTTGGCCCGGATCCGGGGCGAGTACAGCTGGCAGCTGGCTTCCCGGCATCGAGTCGGTGCGTCCCCTGGCGCGAGTCGCATCCTGGTCAAGAATTCCCGCGCGATGGGCTTATTTACCTTGACTAGCGGCCACACCACGTCGTCGTAGCAATCCTCACACACCGTGAACTCGGGCAGCTGCGGCATATAGTACCACGTACCAAGAACCGGTCGATCCCGGAGACAGTCCCGTAGCACGACCTTGCGGCGAGCATAAGCCAGGAACTCGGTCATGTCGGGCCGTGGCGAGCGTTCGATCTCGGCGCGGTTTGCAGCAATGTCCAACAGGTCGACGTATTGGACGAACCGCGGACTGTCCGCCACAAAATCACAGACCTGTTCCTGCATCGTGGTGCTTCTCGTAAACGTCTCGCGGTGCTGCGGCATAAGAATGCGCAGGTTGCGAATACACGCGACGCAGACGTTGAACTTTGGCAGGTACATGCCTGTTTCCGGGTCGATAATCCGGTACCAGAACTGATCGCTGATGATGCGCCCTGTGCATGGCTTGCTTCCTGGCGGTGGCCGGTTAATCTGCTGGAGCATGTCCAAAGTCTCATACCGCTTCTTGATGGTCTGCATCCAGGCGAGTCGTGTCCACGGCTCACTCATCGAGCATCGAACCATCTGACCACGTGGTACCGGTAAACCAGGGATGAACAAGTCTTGGAATCGCGAATTGCGCATCTGTTTCGTGCACGAAGGGCAGATGTCGAGATGTTCCAATCCTTTGATGGTATACCAGTCCTGGTACCCGGTCATAGGGACAGACCGCGGACAAGGCAGAAGGCAGGGGCTAGCTTCTTCTGGCGAAGGTTGGCGAACCACTGCTTTGGAAGGACTCGGCCGTCTCGAGGATCTTGATCTCTCGCGTTCTTGCTCCTGCTCCTGCTCCTGCTCGCTATAAAATGATACTGTCCGTTTCGTTGTCGACTGAGATGATACAGGAGGCATTGGTTCGGTCGTCGCTGTACGGAGTGAAGCAGGAAGCGGATCAACTTCATCTGGGCGGGGAGCAGCCGGCGTGGGCCTCGCTGGGGTGGACAAAGCCCTAGAACGAGTTCCGCGAGAGGTAGCTCGTGGCACTGACTCGGGAGGTGCGTTGCACCGACAAGCTCGAGGAGGCTCGGAGGACGGCGGTTCAGTGGAACCCGTAGGACGAGCAAGAGGTAGTCCCGTTGCTTGAGTGGAGTTTTCAGACTCGCGAACTTTCTGGCGCTGTCTCAATTTTTCCTCCAACCTTTCAGCCAAGCCTGATCCCGTAGGAGGGACGGTAGGAGGGACAGCATGAGCTCTCTTGCTTGTCTGCGAAGGCGGCTCCTGATGCGCGGTTCTAGGATTCACTGGGGCCTTGTTTGCAGCCGGATCAGACGCGTACCCGGCTGATGAGCGCGATTGTTGAGACTCGCCAGGGGATCGTCGACGCCCATCCCTCACGCTACCGGAGCGTTTTGGGACCGCGGCAGAAGTAGTCTTCTCTGCAGGGGACCCCAGGGAACCTTGTCCGTTTCTTGCAGGCACAGAGACACGCTCGGGGTTGCGAGGAGGGACTTGAGTGGTCGCCCTCACATCAATGTTCGTCTTCCCTGATGCACTTTGGGTTTTGGGAATGGTATGACTCGGCTCGGTTCTTTGACGGCCGCTGCTGGTGTTCTGGGACATCCTGGGCGGCTGGCGATCCTCCTTCCTTGGCTGGGCTTGAGGCCTAGTCTCCCTGACCGGCAAGGGGACAGGCACCGTAGGAGGCGTCAAGTGGAATTCCTGGGAATCATCGACGACGTGGAGAAGTGGATCCTGTACAAATCTTTCAGGTGGCGTGGCTGGTCCTGTGCTATCATCTGAAGAACTGTTTTCGCGGCTGCACTCATCCAGGTCATACGGTTGAGTCTTCGCAGACTCGGAAATAGGCGCATCCAGGATGACAGGGTATTGGTCAATGGTTCCTCGGGCACAGACTCCTTCAACCCCGGGCTTTTCTGCTAGCATGGACATTCCGTGGAGCTCTCGGGAGAGTGAGGTGGCCTCGTCCTCCACCAAGGGAGGTGGTGGCAATTGGGACCGCTTGCGCCCAAACCGAGGCATTGTCGGCCGCGATGAGTCCAAGGTAAATGCGTGGTGACTTCCAGGGGAATAACAAGGCAAACAAAGAGTTCTCTCAGAGGAGCTGAACTGGCAAAGGCTATCCTGTGGCAGTGGCACGGCTAATTAGATATCCTTTCCCGGTGGCGGTTTGCATGGTATAGCCGTCGATTCTCAGACTCACTCGGAGTTGTGTAGGCGTCGCAGAGATCGATCAGAGAGATGTGTCGATAGATGGAATACCAGGCTAGAAATGTGAGCCGAACACGAATATCAGAATGTTGTCCAGGAATATCCTCGGGAAGCTGTCAGCTGTAGTGTACAAGACTATGATACAAAGAAAAAGAATGAAGAGAAACTTTTCGTCCCTAGGTCTATGGGAACAAAGAAAATCAGGAAGAACAAGCGCCTGAGAGATTGGAATATAAATATCGTAAAGGGCCTAGTTGGGCAGCGTGTTTCATCTTGGCGGCCCTATCAGAAGCACAGACTCGGGGGTTGGGCGTTAATAGGCAGCGAGTCAACCTCCATGTACAGATGTCCGGTTGATCTTGATGTTTGACTGTGAGAATGAGTGGCGATACTTCGAACATGTCAACACTCAACAGGCACTGAAATATGATGATACATGGTCGGGAAGGCTAGTGGTAACCGCATGCTGTGGGTTTGTAAACGCCTGCGCCGGTGGACAGAGACGCACTAGACAACCAATCTGCATCAACACTAGTGTCGAGGTTCTCGTTGAACGGACGAATCATGATCTCCTGGCGCGGGAAGGCTGTTTGCGGATAGAGCCTTGCAGATATGAAAACGCCACTTACTGCAGGACTGACAGACATGACAGTTGTTCATGGACACTGCATCCATTTCACGCGAGCAGTAAAGGTCAGGCGCAGGGTGACCACTCAGCCCCCTTTCAGCGCCGTCATTGACGATTATTGACCGTTGAAGAACGGATCGTTATCCAATCCTGGACGAGGGAAAGACAAAGCGTATGATGTCGGTATTTTGTTGGTCCTGCTCAGTCGACTGTCGAATGTACCCTGCAAAGCGACGACCTTTGTGTTACCTCTGGTCAGAGGGTTGGGTAGCAAACTATAGCACTCTCATCAATATTGGAAGGGATGAGCCACTATGAAAAAAGCAATTTGATGTAAATAGAGATGTTGATTCCGATGATGATGGGGAAGTTGTGGAAGGGAGAAACGTGGACTGCATCGATGAGTTTGTTGGCAGTGAGTAGATGTGGAGAGACAGCCAACTCAACAACAGCTCTGAGTCATACTCTTCTGAATATCTGTCTCCATCTTTCAGCTGGGAGAATCTTCTTTACATCTACGCGTGTTAATACTATTTCTTTGGTAGCTTCACTCTCATCAAGACGGAAATCAAACTGTATGCCACTTGTTGCTTGGTCAATATAAAGATATATCTTGTTCAAGGTAGACTCCTATAAGCTACTTCTGTGCTCCTTCACCCCATTCCCTCCTTCTTGCACATCCATCAGTAGTAACTATTGATACAAGGATCTTCACCTCTCATTTTCCGTCTTTCACTTTCTTTTCTCCTTCTGCTCTGAATCCCCGGGGATAAGGCTAAGGGAGGAAATCCGATAAACTCGGATAACACCCGATGGCGTCATTCCCGACGGAAGTTGATTAGAACTAGGGCTGGAGAGGACAACTGGGACAAGATTGGAGATAGTTGTAAAGAGAAAGAATAGCTGGTGCTGAAACCATAAATAATATAACGTCCAGGCCAGACCGGATCAAAGTCCGAGGTTATCGTCCATTGCAAGTGCCTCCATAGTGGGGGAACTGCGGGGAATGTTTGTACAAGTCGGATATAACCAGAGAAAGAATATTCGCGATGACAAATGCTCTTCTATAAGATGATGATAGATCGCTAAAGAAGGTTCCTGTAATCCAGTCTTATAACCTCACTATTCTCTCCTCCCGTCGAATGCATCTCTCCCGCGCCTTCATCCCCCGCCTCAGTAATTCCCTCGCGGTCACATCTCCCGCACTCGTCCGTCTCTCCGGCGTTCGTTCTCATCTCCAACCGCCATTTCGGCCGACAGCCTCACTCATAACCTCTCCACAATCACGAACCATGTCTATCCCAACCACAATGAAAGCCGTCCTGGTCGAGAAGATCGGCGGCCCCGAGGTCCTCGACTTCAAAACTGACTATCCCGTCCCCACCCCGCAAGAGGGCCAATTGCTCGTCAAGAACAACATCTCCGGCATCAACTACATCGACACCTACTTCCGCACGGGGCTCTACCCCGCCCCAAAGCCTGAAGTCCTGGGCCGCGAAGGCGCTGGCACCGTCGTCGCCTTGGGACCCGGGCCAAACCCCTACAACTTTCAGGTCGGGGACCGCGTTGCCTGGCTCAGCACCGGCGGATATGCGGAGTACACTGCCGTCCCTGCGGCCAAGACGGTCAAAATCCCCGACGGCATCTCGGATGAGGATGTCATGGCTTCGTTTCTGAGCGGTCTGACCGTCCTGTCGCTGGCGAAGGAGACCTATGCCGTGCAGAAGGGCGACTGGGTTCTTCTGCATGCTGCTGCTGGTGGTGCCGGCTTTCTCATGACGCAGGTTCTAAAGTCTATTGGCGCGCATGTCATCGGTACTGCTGGTGGTCCTGAGAAGGTCGAGCTGGTCAAGAGCCTCGGTGCGGATCATGTAATTGACTACCGCAGCGAAGAGGGGAAGGATTGGGTGACGCGGGTGAAGGAGATTACCGGCGGCCGAGGCGTGGATGTCGTCTATGATTCCGTCGGAAAGGATACCTGGGAAGGAAGTCTGGAGGTCGTCAAGAGGAAGGGTACCATTGTCTGGTTTGGAAATGCCAGTGGACCAGTTCCCCCTCTGCCTTTGAAGTAAGTTGGGCTCTCTCATTATGATTTTGTTTGAACATGGACTGACCTGGACAGTAAACTCTCCCCCAAGTGTGTGAAGGTTGCCCGTCCTACACTTTTCGGCTACATCGAGACCCGCGAAGAATTCGAATTCTATGTCAATGAGCTATTCAACCTGCTCCAGTCTGGCCAGCTCAAGGTCAAGATCCACAAGGTTTACCCGCTTGAGCAGATTCAACAGGCGCATATCGACCTTGAGGGGAGGAAGACTACGGGAAAGTCTCTCTTGAAGCCATGATCTACTTAACCAATCAGAACATGAGTTACGCGTGTATATGTTTGAAAAGTATCGATTTTCTGATTAAGATCCATCGAATTGTGTATCAATGTATGCTGTTGCTGTTGGAACCAGAATCGATACCCCGAACTACCCAGAATCTCAGATTCGATTACTAGCTCAACAGCCTGGTCACCCTCTGCTTTTCCTTTGAATCCTTGCCTTCCTCATCATCAGTCTCATCAGCCTCACAATCATCTTCCGTCCGCAAATCCTTCGGTTTCTTCCAACCTATCATTAAATCATTGGCCAGAACCGTGTAAATAGAACAGTAGGCTGTGAACACCTCGTCAAAGTAGTGAAATCCACAGTTAAGTTCCCAAACCGATGTTATGACCTTCATGCCAGGGTAGCACAGCTTCAGCAGACTCTCCTCAAGGAAGAAGTCAAACTCATATTCTGGTGCACCGCCTTCTTCCCATTGAAGTCTCTCCTCAGGGCTGAGGTCAATGTTGGGCTTGCCGGGGTCGCGGTAGGCCTTTGCCAGCATTCGTCCTACAGGGTGGAGATCTGGAGCGTGGGACATGTAAAACTCCTTAGTCTCGTCGTCTGCGAAGATGATAGCGGTGACTTCAAAGCCATCGATGTCTTCGACTCGCATCGCCCGCAGTGCGTTTTGGTTTGCAAGCTCTTGGAATCGGACGGCCTGTCTATCGAACCCGGCGCCTGCCAGCGCGAACTTGACAACCTTGCGGGCGATCTCGTTGGTCATACGCACTGTATCGTTCTTGCTGTTGCACCACTGGTTGTCTTCGATGTAGAGGTCAAAAAAGACGCCCCCGAAGAGCGTAGAGCAAGCGGTATTGAAGTCTCCGGGTCCTTTGACTGTGAACTGCTGGTTTTTCCAGAGCTCTTTGCCGGCAATGTCGCAGGATTTCCTGGCTTCCTCGATGTTCGCTTTGTATTCTGGGACGACGTCGTGGTAGAGGATGTACGTGAGGAAGTTCCAAATCGTGACAGTGCCAAGCTTGACCATGTCCTCGGTTTCGGGGTTGAAGTAGTACGGGAAGTAGGAGGTCCTGTCCAGCTGTCAGTCTCATTATAGTGTCGCAGCATTGTGTTGCCTTGAAGACTTACAGGTACCCCTTGACCACAGCATTGAAGTCAATATGCAAGTTTAATTGCTCCTGTGCGATGCTTGTCTGGGCCCTTGCCAGGAGGATCTCCTCACTGTCCATCTCCTTGAGATCACGTTGGTCTGTACCCGTGAACATTTTCGGACTGATATCGACGCCTCCATATTGCAGGTACTTTAGGAAGATTTCGCGTCTGTCATTTTCAATACGCCGCTTCTTCTGGAAGCGTAGAATCGCATCTTCCATTCGACTAGGGACGTTAGATGCAGATCATGAGTCCTACTCGCGAGAGCAACTTACTGAATAATAGGCCGCGAGCTTGATAAAGTCAAACGCTTGTCAGCCTACTTGTCTCCTCGTGTGGCAGTACTCACATACACATCATATATCTCTCGTCCCTCTGCATACTCCTGGGGTGTTATAGGGGCGTCCACGCAGTACTCTTCAAACCCTGTCGGCTTGTTCTGCAGAGTGCACGCGTCAGTTTCGCCCGCAACGTGATGCCGGTCATTGGCAAAGGTCCTACTTTGCCGCGTTTGATTTTCGATCTGGAGGTCTTCTTCTTCTTCTTCTTTGACTCCACCATATCAACAGGGATGGACTCTGGTTCCCGTTGACTACCATTTACTTCTGACCGGGGTTGAGTCATTTCAATTGTCTTGCTCGTCTGATGTTCTGAAGAAGTGCCCGTGTTGAGCTGCTCAGTTACTGGGTCGTTGTGTTGTTCAAGAGGTCGAAGAGGGAGCTTATGAGAAGAGTTCGAGGGGATTTTGGGAGACTCCATTGCCATGAGAGGTGGGATGAGATTGTCTGCTAACGAGATAGAATAGATGGTTAGATCAAGCTGATGCAAAGGTGAAAGAAAGATCAGATCGACGGGGATGGGAAGTAGACAATGCATGAGAGAGAGAAAGAGAAAGGATTCAATTCACTAGTTTTTGGTAGACGGAGGGAAAACACTGCCTCCAACGGTCCAACTACTTCTTAGTCTGTTTGATTCATGCAATTCACCGGCAAACAGAGCACCTCTAGCTTCTTTATTATTTGACTGTGGTGCCTCAAGCAGCTTTCTGAGGATAAAGAGAAGTCATCTCGCAGGCTCAAGCTATAATAATTGAGGTAATTCATCTATGTTAAGAATTTGTAATGGCCAACATGGGAAGCCTAGTAATTGAAAAGCCAAAGAGGCAGATGTGATACCATTCAGAGGATATATCCATATCCACCCAGTCATATGTGTTTCATTCCCTTGTCAGACTGGCAACTATTTCATGTAATTAGACTACTGAAGGGCGTACATTGCAGCTTTTCAAACTCCTAGACATAGGGAATCAGTTCTATAGTTCATCTCCCTTATTGAATGGTCGATATAAAGTATATCACGGACTTGCTCTTGTTTCGCTTTTCACCTACCACATCAGTAGTAGTATAATACCCCATTGAGACCTTAACTAACTTTACCCTGAAGCCTTGTTAGGCTTCTGAGGCTTTATTAGACTGTAGTATATGTGGTTGAGTTTAATTAAGGGTCCAGCCTGGCAGTGGACTAGCTACTCAGTCTGTTTCTTAATGAGCCATTTGCTATAACTCTAGGGATCATTCATCTGTATGCCTAGTATACAATCATGCAAAAGAGGCCAGTAATGATTCTTTACCCCTGCTAGACTCGTTGCCCACATATTAGTCAAGGACTAGATAGTTGGAATGGTAACAATATCACCTTGACCGTCCACTCTGGTAATATGTGCTCGAAAGACGACAAGGCCAGTGAGAGAGGTTTAAAGGCTGGCATGAGAATGCTAGCCATTCCAGCTTAATACATATTGTATTACAAACTGATATCACTGACATCTACAGAGGCAGCATACATTTGTAAGTATAAGAGTTGCAAGAGAATAATGACCCCATAGTTAGAGGCACACTCTATCTTTTCCTGATAAGGCTATATATATACCCACAACATCTACTATAGCGACAAAGAGCGAAATAGGACTCAAGTCTAGTGTATTCGTATACTGCAGGGGGACAAATCCTTAGAACCAAAAGCGGCAGATATGATGCCATCCCAAGAACAAGCGGTCCTCGGCCCGCGTTGAGCCGGCAATCACAGCCGCCGATCACTTCTTATCAAACCTGACCGTTGTTCGAACCAAGACACTAAGGCGACAACGACTCCATCAGACTATTAGAGCGGTATTATTTTGAATAATCTCCTAGGCATTTAATTCCGACCCCTTGTTCCAGTCATGCCGATCATGATTGCATTTCAACCGTAGACGGAAGTACAACTTGCCTTGTCTCTCCTTTTCTTCGCTCCTTAACTCTGCCATCTCTTTGACTACACTCTACCTACGACTTCATTTCTTTCACCTTTGACTACTTCTCATATCTCTATCGCGGCCTCGAAATATCTATTTACCTGTCAAACGCATTTCCGGAATGAGCAACGAATGAGATTTTCGCGGCGCTCCGGTGTGCAACAATATATGATCATTATCTCTCGCGAACAACATGCCATCGTCTTCAAGGTCCGATAGTTTGAAAACAGCCAAACTCGACACTGACAGTTTTGTCGACTTCGATCACGCCGCTGCTGGACAGTAAGTATCCATCCGCTCTCGGCTCACCTTCCTTGCCCACGTCAGCATATCTCAGCCTCTCTAGCGGCTGAATTATCCTGCATTGAGCATCCAATCATTGTCAGCGCAGTGCGCTTTGTGCGCATATACAGGGTCGCATGACTGGTCTAACACCTTTCTCTACAGTGACGGCGTGCGTTGCACTCCCTCCGGTTCCTTCATCGCGAAACCTTGCACTCCCCAAGAAGTTGCATTCTACGAATCTAGCGCCCTCCATCCCGCCTTTCGAGAGTTCATTCCCACTTACATCGGAACCTTATCGTCTGCCGACCAGCAAGGGCCGTTAGCGCTCACTGCTGCTGCTCAGCAGAGTGGAGCTATTGTTCTACCCACCGCAGACGACTCATCATCATCTGCCACGCCGACCACCGCGGAGGCTCCGCCACTCGGGTTGAATTCTGGAATTGGCTCGAATGGCGCAGCTGAAAACAAAATCTGGGTGCCCTCTGGCGGAAAAAAGCTCGAAACAGGGCTGTCCATAGTCCTGGAAAATGTCGCGTCTGGGTTCAAACGTCCAAATGTCCTGGATGTGAAGCTTGGCGCGCGGCTTTGGGCTGATGACGCGCCCCCCGCGAAACGGACCAAGCTAGAGGCTGTGGCCAAGGAGACAACCAGCGGTAGCCTTGGGTTTCGCATTGCCGGGATGAAAATTTGGACAGGCACTCATGGGGAGACGGACGAGGGCTGCAAAACCAATCCATACGCCACCAAGCATGAGGGAGTCGAGGGTGCTAAGGGCGAAGTCATTGAAAAGGACGGCTACAAGCGCTATGACAAGTGGTACGGACGGTCTTTTAATGAGAAGAATGTGAAAGAAGGCTTTGCGACGTTCCTCGCCGGCGCAAAGGCCGGCCCTATTGATCGGTCCAAACTAATCGCCAAGAGACTTGCTGACGAGCTGAGGCGTGTGCAGTCGATCCTGGAGTCGGAAGAGAGCAGGATGTATTCGTCTAGCGTTCTCATTGTCTACGAAGGTGACCCAGAGGCCATGGAACAAGCACTAGAAGAAGAAAAGAAACCCAGGGACAGATCACCGGAAGAGACCGATGAAGAGGACGAGGAGTTTGATTTTGCTCTGCAGGAAGATGGCTCCTTCGAAGTCGTCAACCTCCAGGTTGGACAAGAGGGAATACCGCAGCAGGCAATCAATATCAACCTTGGTCCAGAAACGGCACAATTAGGAGAAATAGACTTCGAAGACGAGGAGGAAGAGGATGAACCTCCCAAGGTGCACGACCTCCGCCTGATTGACTTTGCACACGCCAGTTGGACGCCTGGTCAGGGTCCGGATGAAAACGTCCTCATGGGGGTCCGGAGCTTAATCAGGCTGCTTGATGAGCTTGCTATGGAATGAGCACATCAAATCAAATTCAGGAATACGGGATCTTTACATCCAACAGTCGCTGGCGGCTTCTGGATCTGAAGATATTCAAGCTATTGGCTCTGTTCAATGCTACCGATATACGACGATAGCTTGCTTGGGGAAGAAACATATAACAGTTAGCAGTCCCAGTCAATGGCTATAATATATAAGAAAGAATAATAGCTATATTTTCTCAGAGTTCAGGTCTCTTCTACGTACTCCGTAACCTCCGTAATCCCTTAGTATCTTGAGCATCCAAGTATATTCGCTTACATAATCCGCTATCCGAAAAGCATCGTTTTGCGACTCTCAACTTGCAGAGTCTCGGACTTGTTGAGCAGCGTGTATCGACAAGATGTTTCCCACTCGTGCTCTGCTGGGCCGATCAGTATGGAAAGGTGAGTTACCCAAGATTGTTCTTACTTAATTCATACGTCTCGAAGGAAAGGATAATGGCTAATCCCGCTACCATCACCGCAGGCCCGAACATCGTGCCGTACGTATCTCCATCACCCTAGCTTGAATATAGGATCGCAGAGCGAGCTCCAAACGAGTTTGATCGCTTTTATTTTATAAGCTGACTTTCAATTTTCTCTTCAACAGTCTCCCTCTCCCACGAAAACTGCCCCCTCCTCCCGGCACACCCCCGATCAAGACACAGAAGCGCGGGGCCACAATCCTACCTAATTTCGTCGGTCTGCGGTTCGCAGTGCACAATGGGAAGACGTACCAGGATGTTTTGATCACGGAAGATATGGTGGGGAGGAAGCTGGGCGAATATGTTCCGTATGTTTGATGCCCGTTCAGTTTCCCGACAATCGGAGTGAGAAGAAGAAGAAGCAGAAACAGAAGCTGACGGTTGGCGATGGCAGTACTCGCAAGCGGTTCACGTACAAGCAGTCCAAGAACAAATAAGTGTTTCAGGCGGTGGTATGGGGATACTGTTCGATGGTTCTTGTCGCTGCTTTTTCGAACCTTTGGCCCTGGCGCTTACGGGGGTCGTTCCTGGGCGAGCAGCATTATGGGATGGGATCGCCATTGGGACTGCCACGGCGATTACTTGAGAATGATCAAAGCAGGGAATATCTACTGTGAGGGTAGCAAATGTCGCTCCACCGCGATATCGTCTCCCTGTCGAGGCTCTTCCGTCTTCTACTGGCGGGAAGTGTACATCTACACATATCTGTATTGTAAAAATAGCGGTTACTGTGTCGGAGTTATTTAGGTTTTGCGAAAGTCAATATTTTCATTTTGTTCTGGATATCAGAGTTGCATACTTGTTGAGGTGGACACCGATGAATATGTGTCCCATTTAGCCTTCCAAAAACGCCTGCGAGCAAAGTTCAGAAAAGGGAAATTCTTTTCGACATATAAGAAACCCCCAATGCAGGATATCCGTCGTCCTCGACCCGGTATGTACGCCAAATGAAATTGAAAAATCTGCCTTCCCAGAGAAAGCCACCATAATCCCTCTCGCCAAGACTGCGTATCAATATAACGTCAAAATCTCTCGTAAGTCAGCCAAATCTCGTGGATGGGCTTTATCAGCCGTGCGGATGGAGAATCATTCAAGCCAAGCAGATGACACCCGGTGGCATGCTGGCTGCACTGACCACCGTGGTGTGTTCCGTCACGAGGACCCAGCCTTCCCTACCGGTAAAATTCCCCTCTCTTGACGCTGACACCATACTCTGCAACAGCCATACCCAAGTCTTCCATGGTGAGCACCGTCCGACCTTGCCCGGAGCCACCGGAGCCACCACCGCCAAAACCAGGACGCTGAATGCCCAGATGTGTGTTCGCTTTGCCTTTGCCTGCGTCGCCGCCACCAACACCCGCTGTGCCGCCTGCTGCGCCAGCTCCAGCACCGCCGGGCATGTTCAAACCTGAGGCAGCGTTCAGACTGCCCATGGGGTTGCTGGCTGATGTACTGTTCGAGGCTCGGATACGTGCGTACTGATATGAATCCGCCGCGATATCAGCAATGAATTTCTGTGTTGCGAGAGCGAGGAGTCGGGCGAGATGTGGGGGGGTTTGGTTCGGTCCGTTTCCTGGGGGTGGTAGGCCGGCGAGGGTGAGATAGTGAGCTGTTACCGCGTCTGGGATCTATATCTTGTTAGAATGCCTCGAGAGTGTGCACCTTGCGATACGTTCATGACAAAAAAGGCGGTCAAAAGTAACGCAGAAGGAAAATGATAAAGGAAGCAAGACCTACAATAGGCGCATAATCATCCATCTTGCCCAGAAACTCGCGCAAACTCGTCTCCTTCTTCGATGGCGCCACTGCCGCTGCTATAGCGTCGACAGACGTAGGCACTGCATCTTGAACTGGGTTTCCTATCGTATTATCTCCGTCGCTTGCGCCCGCCGCGTTGGTATTGCCACCGGTGTTCATATCGATGTCCTGCTCGATGGAGGCGTCAAGGGCTTCGGCATCCGTTGTATTCGGCTCCTGTTTCGGTACAACCAGGGGTTCAGAAGAACCCGGTGACTCTCCCGGTACTGTTGCCTGTGTTGATGATGAAGGAAGCTCTTGTGAACCGATCTGGGATGAAGGTGGTGGTTGCGACGAAGGCGGCGCTGGAGGTTGTGATGGAGTTGATGAATCGGCCATCGTGACAGATCACTTATTAATGACTTGAGCAAGAGAGACGGAAGTGAATGGACGGGTAAAGTAGACCCCTGTTGGACGAATAGGAGAATTGGGGGACAACGTTTCGCTGAGGTCTGTTCTTTCTAGGGTGTGTACAACGAATCGACATGTGTTGGTGATGCACTGGCGGAGATCTGTCCGTGTTCGGCCCGAGGACACTTAACCTATACGCTCTGCTATATGAGCTTGAAAAGCAACGATTCAAGTATGATTTCATGATATTCTCTAAAATAGGCTCAACTGAAAATGGTATTCATTATAAATACAGACTCATTTTACATATGTACGAATAGATGCCTGAATTCCACTCTTACAGACCAAACCAGACCCAAACCAGACCCAAACCATGCTATTACACAATGGAGCAAGCAGCATCCTTCACCGGAAGCGAAAAAGACATATCGCCATTCGGATGGTAAAAACCACGGCGACTTCAGGTCAATCCTCGGGGCAAGCCGGAGGAAAGTCTTGTAGAAAGAACGACCAGTTTACTGCCCCATGTGCATGTTGGGATCGACGTTTCCTGGTTGATGCTGAGGTTGGCCAAATTGAGCCCCATGGACTTCCTGGCCCAGTGTCTGCATCAGGTTCTGTTCCGCGGTTTGATCGAACGTAGAATGACTGCCAGTATCCGGAAGGCCGGGAGAAGCAGACATTGCCTCGTGCCCGTGTCCGAGCGGAACGGGCTGCGAATGTGCACCAGCGAGGGCCATCATGCCTTTGATACCTTCCACATGAGCTTTATCTTCTTCGCCTTGCTTCTTCTGCCTCTCCCGTGCTTCACGTTTAGCGGCCTGAGCAGGAGCGCGAGTCTTGAGTTCACCAGTAACGAACTTCAGGTAATAAGGAACTTCAATACCGCTCTTGAGGAAAAAGAGTTTCAAGTTGCGCGCCTTGTCTTTCAGCTGCACTTGATTCCGATCCTTCAGGGCTTCGCTGATGGTACCTCCGGGACCGAACATCGCAAGAATTTGACTCCAGTGTGGCCCCTTTACACGATCCAGTCCAGCCATCAAAGCGTTTTCTTCTTCGGTAGTCCAGGGGCGGCGCTGGCTTGGTAGGCCGGATTTGCGACTGCTTGGAGATGATTTCGCCGAAGCCGCCATGCGAGCGCGCTCATAGAGCACTTGAGTGGGTTGTGATTGTGAATAGTGAGGGATTCCAGGCATATAACCATGATTTGATTGACCACCGTTGGGTCTCCCTGGCATGGAGACGTGACCCCCAGGGTTATATTGTTGAAAGTTTGCTTGCAGAGGGCTTTGCTGGAATGTGAGCTGTCCGGGCTGCTGCTGATACCCCGGCGGGGTTGGACTATGCTGGTAGTGCTGCTGATGTGGGTTTTGCTGAGGTGGCAGCTGGCCTGTGGGCTGAGCAGCAGTATACCCATGAGGTGGCTGGCCTCCATGTTGAGAACTCTGCTGTGGCATTTGCTGCTGCTGTAGGTGGTGCTGAGGTTGCTGCTGAGCCTGCTGAATGTGGTTTTGATGCTGTTGCTGTTGCTGTTGCTGTTGTTGGGGTTGTCCTGGTTGCTGTGGCTGACTGGGCTGCTGCTGCTGCTGTTGGGACTGCTGTTGTTGAGAACGTCTCAATCCATGGCCCTGCAAGGCGATCTGGGCCGCACGTGCCGCACGGGCTACCAGGTCACCATGCATATTCTTGTCAACCGGAACTTCAGGCGCTTGCGAAGCAACAGGGAATTGGCCTTGAAGGGGTGCACTTGGTGTATCTTGTGATTCGCCACTTGATGAAGATGGCTGTCTTCCCTTATTCAATTTCTTCGTCTGATCAGCATTAGCACGGCAAGGATAGATAGGGGTCACACAAAAAACAAACCTGTTGATGGCAGATAGCATCAAAGTTCTTCGTAATGTACGAGCTCAGGTCTCGGAGAAAATCTTCCCAGTGGTACTTATCGGGCAAAGCTTTCATCGCTTCTTCGTTGTTGATATCGTTCAAAAGAATATCCCGACGTGAGCCGGCACGTTTCACGAAATCAGCCTCACTAGGTGCTAGCTGACGAGTTCCTGGCCGTCGGTCAAGTAACCGCTGCTCCAGATCATCTGGAAACAGGTCATACAGCAACTCGGTCCTTGTTCTCTCAGTGTTGTTCATGGAGGCTATGAATGCTTGGGTCTTGAGCTCCAGAAACAGAGCCCCTTGTACTTTCAACAGGCGGCCCCCTTCCGGGACGAAAACATCCAGAAAATGCTCATTCAGCTCAGCAAAACCGATTTCTTGTGTGCCAAAGATGCTCGAAACAAATGAGGCCAGGTTTGCTTTTCTGATGATGTCAACTTGGGAAGGTTCCGTGAGACCAAGTTCAGTCGGTGACAGGAAAGATTCCTTAGAAGAATACACTTTCTTCGTATGATCAAAGAGGGATCTCATGGTCGCATAAGCTTGTCCGTTTTCTGACTCCGGCTCAGCCACAAACGAGGTAATGTCCTGATAAGTGGATTTTGCCAGAAGAGAGAGAATTTGGGTAGACTGGACCGCATACGTGTCAGTGTTGACGTCTAGAAGATCCACATAACAGGATAAGAGGCATTTCTTACCAGATTGTCCAATATAGGCAAACTCTGGATCTTCAAGTGCGAGTTTGCCTTCACATAAACGAGACCCTTAGGCGCCGGCTGATCCGCAGGGGTAGCCGGTGTCGTTGTCGCAGTAGTTAATTGTTGCTGGCCCATAGCGCATTGTTCCTCGACCCGTTCAGCATGGTTCATGATACTAGAGATGACAGACGCCATATCATCAAGCTCCGGATTTGTCTCCGGCGCCGCGGGATCTCCCGCGGAGCTGACCGTCTGAGTCTGCCCGGCATTCTGGCGTTCCACAGTATCTACAATCCCAGAACCGAGCGCGGATACTAACTCTTCTTCGATCTGATGTCCAGGGGCTTGATCGGTCAATTCGGTCGTTTGAGTCGGTAGGAGAAGCCCTTCCGACTCGGCCTCGATGCGCCGCTTCTTCGCAGCTCGAGGGGAAAGGGAGCCATCCTCGTCCTCCTCGCGCGGGTGAGACGCCTTCAAGGAAGCTGCAAATGAATCAGAGTCAGAACCGAACTTCAAACCATAAACAGGATACAATTTTATTTAAATAAATGAAAGAAATGACAATGACCTCCTGTGTCATGTTGGACGGGCAGATCAAGGTCCGCAATAAGCCACGAGGAACACTTACCATCGTCCTCGATCTTGAGGGCAGGAGACGCAGGAAGCTCAGAAGAGACGTGATCGTCAGACGAGGGACCTGAACCTCGCGTGTTTACCATATTGGACAAGGTAAGGTCCTAAGAAGATACTATCTTGACTTCCAAGAGCAGAAATAAGGGCTTAGGGGTAGGGCGCAGGTGTAGGGCTTGGGGAGAAGGTGAGACGGACGGGACGGCGTGATAGAATTTTCGCCGGCAGCCGGAAGCGGTCAGGAGGGACGAATCAGATGGGCGAAAGCTGTGCTTCCACTGTGGAGGTATTATTATTCATTCGATAAGGTAGGCTACTACGGGGTATAATCTGCTATTTCAATCGTCAAGGCAAATTGATCTCAGTTACAAATTTAGATTCCTCCTTGCTTGAGGAACGGGCGGCAAGAACAGACTGTGGAAATGCTGACTTGGAGGGCTGCCTTGATGCCTGAGGAGCTAGACCAACCAGTTGGCAACCTCTTCAGAGAAGACAAATGACCCCAGCTCTCGGCTTTCATTGACTTACGTTATACTACTCACTTGACATCTTTACTAACCTGACTTGCAATTGACAACCAAATATGTCCGCTGCAAACTTTAGTCAACGGTACCAGAGTAGAGCCTCATACGGTTACTTTGCCTCGAATGCTACCTACCATTACCGTTGCTCGCGTCATTGACCCTGATCCTTACCATGCCTCTGCAGTTGAAACAGACTGACGTGCTACTTTGGTCTACAAAATTTACACAAAAGTCCATGTCTTATCTACAGAACTGAGTGAGTGGTATTCATCTCGGCTTTGTCGAGGCCCAGGAGTGAGTCCATCGAGCATCAAATGCTAAAAAGGGCGATTTCTCTCTAGCGCTTCGATTTTGTAGACTGAAACGGGAGAGGTACGGATCTTTGAGAATCGTCTACGTATGAATGGACCAGTGGAATTACCTTGTGAGGGGGGCATACATACATCTACCTAAATGCCTTTGACCATGGAACAGAGAAGGATGCCCGGTGGGACAACCACACATGTAACTTCTGCAAGCACTCTGTCTATACTGATACAGTTCCAGTGTTGATGCAATGATATTCATTTCGTCACATCCATACCAGCACTGTTGGATACCAACGGTCGTGATTGGGGTCTAGACGTCCTTGCCATGCTTTCCTTCGGTACCTTAAAATTCGACAGGATGCTTGCAATTCTCCCGTCAACTGACTTGTAAGCTGAAGAAAGCGACTATATTTTATTCTACTACCCCAAGCTTGACTGGATAAGATTATCTGGATCGTCTCCTGTCAAGCTCATACTGCGCAGAGCCTCGCAACTCTGAAGTCCCCACCATTCGATAAGCAATTGCTTCTCAGATCGTGATGTTGATCTCTCGCGAACGCCTCCTGGCCCTGGCAGCAGCGGCAGCTTTGCAATTTCCTGTCTTGGTTGCAGCCCAAGACCTCAAGGAGCAAGTCTGGTCGGTTTTCGCATATACACTTCACGGGGATAGTATCCCGAACGCTCTGCCTCGCCCGAGAGCGTTGACTCCGTACGGAGCAAGTGAATTGTATGCCGCCGGGTCCGCATTTCGAGACCGCTATGTTGCCATACATAGCAACGGGAGTGGCGTGGGAACAAGAATACCGAGCCTATCTCCGTACGCACTAGAAGCCGAGGAGATCTCCGTTCTTTCAAGGGCCGATCAGCCAGCCGTGGCATCGGCCCAAGCTTTCATGCAGGGCCTGTATCCGCCTCTCGGCCAGGTTTACGATGGGCAATTCTATGACCCTTCTTTCGTGCTCGCTAATGGGTCTTTATCTCGTGCTCCTCTGAACGGATATCAGTATCCTCAAGTGATCACGGTGGGCTTAGCAGATCCTCAATCGATCATTGTGGACGGCCAGTTTGGATGTACTCTTCACGAAGTAGCTGACTTGGAGTACAAATTCAGCCCTGAGGTGCAGGAACTTACGCAAGAGTCGGAGGAATTCTACGGCCACTTGTACAGCCAATCCTTGAGGGGAGTATATGATCTCTCCTCGGCCAATTATGCCAACGCCTTCTACATATCGGAATTCCTTGAATATGAGTTATTGCACAATAAATCATTATTGTCCCATTTGCAGCGAGAGGATGTCGAACGTGCACGATGGTATGCAGATCACTATATGTACGCAACGAACGGCAACCTATCCTCGTCGGAACTCAGTGTATCCAATGACATACGCACAATTGCAGGGAGAACCCTGGCGTCGCATGTTTTGGAAGCTTTCGACACCAACAGCCAATACCGCGGAGCTAACAGCAAGATGAGCCTTGTTTTTGGAGGCTCGGAACCCGCTGTGGCTCTTGCTTCGCTCATGCAGCTCGCATCGTCGAGCCAGGAGAACTTCTACTCGCGTCCTGACCTCGGGGCGTCGCTCGTCTTCGAACTGTTTAGCCTCGAAGCTGAAGGAGTCCCGACATACCCGGACCAGTCTCAGCTCTACGTGCGATTTCTCCTGCGTAACGGAACAGGAACCTCCGCCGAATTTCGGTCCTACCCACTTTTTGGGCACGGTCCAAGTAATGATGCGATCCCATACTCCGAGTTCCACGCGCAGATGGAGAAGTTTTCTCTTGGTTCGACTCAGCAGTGGTGCCTCGAATGCGGATCGTCGGCTGTGTTCTGTTCCGGAGTGATGGGCAAGGCTAAGAAGACATCTACCTCCGACAACAGGTTAAGTCCGGCTATTGCTGGCGTGATTGGAGCTGTGGTTACAATCGTCGCTCTAGCACTGGCTGCCATACTCTTTTTCCTCGTGCGTGGGTTCCGTATGAGACGTATGCGCAGATCAAGCGCTGGAGGGTTCAAGGGTAATAGCAAGATGGCAAGCGATGCTGACCTTACCGCCAAAAATTCTACGCATGAGGATGTTAAGCCAGCAGAGAGCCCAGATAGGGAGACATTTGGGGCTGGAGGAGCAGTTGTCTGTGGTCATGAGCGGACTGGAAGCTGGGAGATGGGGTCGACTCTTACTGGGAATCGGACGACTGCACCTCCTTTCGAAGACGAACATGACGATACCTGGAATATTCACAGCATCCTTAAGCCAGTCCAGGCTCGGGAACATGTTTGATATGGATCGCCAGGCCCTTGCCACACCAATTTAGCCGAGCCGTTCGCTGCACTCGCCATTTCTGATGAAATAGCCACGTGAGATCTGCTATTCTAGATGATAATTTCCTACCGGATAATAAAACAATCCACGTACTTCACATACATGATCTAAGTGTGGTCCTTCCTCACGAGAGCACTTGCTCACTGACCTAGTTGGGTCCAGTGCACCTTCTAGATTCGCACGATTATATACTCAGTGTGAGTTTCTTCGACGCAAACCCCAACAAGGACATCACAACATCACAGGAGAACCTCTCTCGCATCTTGTCTTCCCATACTGCTTTGACGCGTCTCATGTTTGTTGATCTTTCCCTTTGGACGTTCCCTAAGTAAAATTTGCCCAAGACGGAAAATGAGATATGACATCCCAACCTTGCTGGCAATGAGCCAGAATATACACATAGACCTTGGTCGATTCAGTGCGCAGGCCCTAGGCTGTATGTGCCTCTGCAGTCATCATGCGAGCACAATAAGCTCGGTAATGCTAACGGTTTCATGTCGTCCAGATAACTTGCTCCAGCAACACAAAGCAGATAGAAGTGTTTTATCTGAGCGTCCAGTCAACGGGTCAAGGAACGTGTCAAATAGATCGCGTCAAAGTCAAGGAACCCACTCAACCTCGGGGCCTCGTTTACGCCACCCTAGTCGCCAGCCAAGTGATCCTCCACAAGGAGCTCTCGCTCAAGCTGATGCTGGATTCGCGAGATTTCTCAAGGAGCACGCATCACCTAAACATCAACGGGTCACTGCTGGTGGCCGAATAGTTCCAATGGATTCTCAGGGTCCTGCACCTCAGATGAAACTGTCAGCGATTGACCAAAGCAAAGATGACCGGGGGTCATTCTCTACTCCGACAATAGGTAAATGCAAGTACAAGGCCAAAGACAAAAGAGAACGGTTCGAGGATATTTGCCCTCATACCGGTGCCGACTCGTCATCTCCGAAACCTCAAGGGATACTGGCGACTCACGCGAGATTGTCAAGTATAAGTATGAATGACATATCGGATCCACAAATCTCGGCTTCGACGTTGATTCCGACTATAGCGCCGGTTGCACTAGGTTCCTCCATGATTTCGCAGCCCAATGCGGCCTTGCGGATGAGCCAACAATATTTTCAATGTGAGCCACCATTTCAGGAGCCTCAAGCACCCGCGCTGCAGAATTATGCGATGTATGGTCTTGCGGGGTACCCGTTCGCCTTTTCTCCATCTTTGCAAGGTTTGAGTGCATCGAATGTCACTCCTTTCATGTCGTCCGCATCGCAGGCGCAGTCCTCTGGCCTGGTTACGCCATCCGATATAGCTCCATGCAGCAGTATGATCGGTGGATACTCTTCCGCCATCAGCCAATCTTCGTCAATTCTGGACTCGTTCGTTCCAAACCATGCACCGCAGGGGTATCTTCAAGTCGGTGGCCAAATGGCGGCTGTCAATCACCCACTGCTCTCAATGGGGCCTTTCCTGGAATCCTCACTGCGCAATTCCCTGAGCCAAATCTCGATCGATTATGCAGCCCTATCAACTCAGCTTACAAGTCTCGATAGATACATGGCCATGCATACTTGGGATATGGATCCCTGCGCGAAGAAGTCCCTGGTCGAACAGCGGAAGAGTTTGGTGCGAGAGTTAGATGTGGTGCGGTCGTACAAAGAGCAGTTGGAAGCAACCCTCAGAGTCTCGAATGAACCTGGGAATCAGAAGGAAAAGAGGGCTGGCGCCGCAGCCCAATCGAACAATTGTTTGTCTCAAAGTATGATGACCAATCAATTCCATCTGGAAATACCCCCTTCTGCTTCACAATATGCGGTACCTGGATTTTCCATGCTATCACCGGTCAGTTCTGTGCCACCAGTTCTCCCAGCCGACCAGTATATGGACCCGTATTTTCAGTGGCAGGCCAGTCAAAATGTGGGAAGTCTGGACAATTATTTTGAATTTCAAAACTTATCCTCAGGATGCAATGCTTCGATGGCTTCTAGGTTATCCCAACGCAATCGGAAGTCTAACTCCGGATCGGAGTTTGCCAGAGCCAATACACGAGCTAGAGATCTCGTTGACAGTAAGGCAAGAGATGGAAAAACAGGCGTCAATGACGGCCGGACGTCCTTTTCGAAACCGTCATCCTCCGAACCCCGCGGTACAGAGCATATGATGGGGGATGCCATGCGAAAGGTTGATCCCGTCAACGAACTTATTCAAGGACTGTCACGAGTCTCAATACAATCGACGTTGTCAGACACCCATAGCTACAGTGAGAAAAACGCAAAAGTCCAGTCCTACCTTCCAAGGAAATCGTCCACGGAGTTGATCAAAGGCGCCGGGACTTACAGGCCGGTTGTACCACGTCTCAGAAGACCTTGGGCATCTGAAATGCCAATCCAACGAGCGCCCATCCGGCGTCGCGAGATGTCTTTCAAAACAGATGAGGATGCCGATAGCAAGTCATCGTCGTCCTATACATCGACAACGGATTCATGGGCTACTGGTCGTAGCGAGGAGTAAGCGTTTCTATATGTCTGCCACGCCTAGTTCAAGGATATCTTCGCTGACGAAACCAGCAAGCGTTCGGTAGGCGGGGACTCGGTCCACGGCCAACAGAGCGGAAACGATTTGGAATCGCATCAGGAAAGGTACGCACGCCCCTATATCACTAGTGACGGTCGAGCTAAAACATGTGAACTCTGTTGCCATAGTCGACGCTATTCCAACCTAGCTCCCGCAATAGATACGGTGCACACTGCGCAGCTTTCAACTGCTAGTGCGTCGAATTCGAAAAGTTCACAGTCGCATAGCACAATCGCATATGAACCGCGTCCTTCTACTTCAGCGACTAGTATGACTGATTTGAGCGAAGAAACGAGCTCTGTCAACGCGAAGCAGGCCAACCCCCAACTACTCACGCAGTACTTGAACAAGGATCACGGCTTGCTTGTTCAGAAATCTACGGCATTAGCAGTGTCTCAAAATGTCAATGCCCATGCGTTCCTCGCTGGTGTTGAAGGCATGCTAAACAGACCTTATCTGGGCGATATCAGTCATAGTGACGACAAGATGCAGGCCCTGGCCCAGCACGCAAAGCTGGGAAAAGTTTGACAATCATATGCGACGGGGGCTTGTGGCACATAGTATTTACTAGGAGAACAAGCGACTACATCTGGAATTATCAAGTCGGCTGTTCAGGCCATAGACTCCGCAGGTGTTCGGGGGGTCAGACGGTCAGACTCCGATTAATTTGTCTTCGATCATAGTATAATCAGTTTCTGCATAGTTTAGGATGGCTTCTTGAGCAGGCTCATTGGATTAGCCCTAAGAGGGTCCCGGCTCTTGAAGCTAGTAATATCACTTCGCGACAGGACGTCTTGTGCTCTTAGCACCATAGTTTTCAGGCAGGAGTTTAGCACTTTTTTTATACATGATAGTTTGTTAGGTTGATTGAGAGCTTCCCGCAAGACCAAGTCGAACAGAAAGCAAGTTCTGCGTCATCAGTTAGTATCCTCAAGTCGTCAGGCAGTTCATTCATAATGCATCGTCAGTACACATTCCGCAACTTGGTTGTACATTCCAAGGTAGAATCACCGAGACTGCTCTGATAGAATGCGGTCTAGGCTGTCCTGGTGCCCCCAAAGGTTCTCCACTGTGAAGGACGAGAAACCGGGTCTCCTTGCATGATAACAAACGAGAAAAGGTCCACCAACGAGTATTGTGATTTCAGAGTCTCGGCTTCTCCCTAGTACGTTCTCTCCACATATCGATAGTGACGCAGTCGTACCTAAACGTACTCCGGTCGTAGACTCGTAGGTACCGATCTTTTGACACTTCCAATTCGAGATTGGCAACTTCGGCAATAGATCGGTAGATATTCGATATTGGGTGACAGTGTCATCAAGACTCATTGTATAGTGTTGCGTTTTCTTTTCCGTCCATACTATTTTCCGTAAGAGAAAAAGGGTGAAGCAAAGACAAGATCTGGCCAATGTGACGAAGAGTGTGCCTGTCCATCTACGTATCTTACCTCAGTCCAAACGGTTCACTGGAATGAAGAAACTTAAATCCTTTGGTGAATTGGGTTGAATCCGTGGCCAAGAGGCGAACAGAACAGCATTGGAGGAGTTTGATTGGGTTCAGTGGCTGAGTGGCGACAACATCCCAAGAAATAATAGTACGTAGTCCGATACTGGATGTCTGGATGGTTGGATATGTCGAGTGGATCGCTCATATTTGAAGTTTGGATAATTCCATTGTCGCCTCCATTGTGGTTGTAACGACCCTTATTAGAGATATCAGCTACCAGATGATTCTCTTTTATCATTCTTCCATCAAACTTCGATAAAGCGGCTATCTATACCCCGTAGTGAAGGTAGTCTGGTCGCTAGTTCACCATCTCCAAGGCCTTGACTAAGCCTGGAATCCCTCCACGTCTCCACTTCCGCTTCCCTCTTTCTTGCTCTCTCTCCTCCCTCTCTACTCTCCCATCATCCCTCAGCCCCCTTCTGTCCCATCCCATCCTCTTCGGTATTTCGAAGGATTCTTTGTTGTCTCTCGTTTGAAAAAGTATTTCTATCTATCATTTAGGGATATTTTGACATCTCAGTTCCACCCATGCGAATCGTCCCCGCGGCCTCTCTTGTTCCAGGGTGCACGTCCCTCTAAAGCGAGTTTCCTGGGCATCTTCAACCAACCAACAAACCTGTACCGCCAACGTTGTCCCCGCGGTTTCCAGTCCGTTGCAGGCCGCCCTCCCACACGGCTCGCCCTTCGTCTATCCTCCTGTGCCGCATTTCATCTTCCTTTTCTTCCTCGGGCAATTTTTGGACCTCCTCGCTCTTTCGATAGCAAGGTACAGGTGGACGTTCGGTGATATCTTCAATCTCACTACCCACCGGCATGACGCAGCTTTTCACTTCTAGTCCGTCCGGTGTGACGAATGAGAAACGTGGGAATTTCCCCGGTCTATCCCTGGCTTCCAAAAAACACAGTGAATCGAGCCATTTCCCGACAAGGATAAAGAATTTCTTCCGCATCAATAGTTCCAGCAGCAATGTCACTCCTCATTCCAGCAGCGAGCGAGAACGAGATCGAGACGCCAGCCCGTCCACCGGCGCCAAGGCGGAGGCGAAGTCGACATTTAGACAATCCCGTTTCCTACCTACTATCGGTCGCAGTCGCTCAACCACCGTCGCAAGTGAAGGCAACCCGCTCGACGAAGGCGTCTCTCCTACTGCCACTGCCAATCCATACTTCGTTCACCAGGGTCAGCCTTCCCTGCAACATCGCAACGACGGCTCGGTCCCCTCCTCCCCTCCAGACACCCCTGAACTGCAGGTGGATGGTGTCTCTGCTGCTGAGCAGGCTACGACCGCCAACAAGGAGGAATTAGCGCGGAAGCTTCGCCGGGTTGCGTCCGCACCAAATGCACAAGGCCTTTTCACGCAAGGCCAGTCGGATGCACGTCCTCAGACCGCGGAGATGGGTAAAGAGCCTCTCCTCGAACAATCGGGGCCCACTCAGTCTCAAGTCAGCCTGGTAGGAGCCTCTGGAGATAGCGATATTAGTACACTTGCCGTACCCAAACTTGGTCCGGACAGCAAGATCCCGAGTCCCGGTCAGATTCGCAATGCGGCTGCCTTCCGCAGGACGTACAGTTCGAATTCGATCAAGGTCCGGAATGTGGAGGTTGGCCCTAGCAGTTTCGACAAGATCAAGTTGATCGGCAAGGGAGATGTAGGCAAGGTCTACCTTGTTCGTGAGAAGAAGACGAGTCGCTTGTACGCAATGAAAGGTAAACTCCCGCAATTCTGACGTTCATGCAATGCCATTCAAGTGATTGCTTTGGACTTACTGGGAAACCACAAAACTAATGTCCCGTATAGTATTGAGTAAAAAGGAGATGATCAAGAGAAACAAGATCAAGCGCGCACTGGCCGAGCAGGAGATTCTTGCTACGAGCAACCACCCGTTCATTGTGACTCTGTACCACTCTTTCCAGTCTGAGGATTACCTCTACTTGTGTATGGAGTACTGCAGCGGCGGTGAATTCTTTCGAGGTGTGCAACCCAGTGCAACTGTGCCAGAGCGTCTTACTGATTACAAACTGCGCAGCACTTCAAACACGCCCAGGAAAGTGTATATCGGAGGATGCTGCCCGTTTCTATGCAGCAGAAGTCACTGCCGCTCTAGAATACCTCCATCTCATGGGATTCATCTATCGCGATCTGAAACCAGAAAGTGAGTTCTTTTCCGGAAATCTGATACGATATTAGTGATCGCTCGTTGCTAATGACGGTATCTTGGTAGACATTCTTCTTCACCAGTCTGGCCACATCATGCTGTCAGACTTCGATCTGTCCAAACAATCTGGACCAGGCGGGGCCCCTACTATGATTCCTGCGCGCAGCGGCAACTCCGCCACGTCGTTACCCACCATTGACACCAAGTCATGTATTGCTGACTTCCGAACAAACTCTTTTGTTGGCACCGAAGAGTACATTGCGCCGGAGGTCATCAAGGGTTGCGGACATACCAGCGCGGTCGATTGGTGGACTCTGGGCATCTTGATCTACGAGATGCTCTACGGGACCACGCCCTTCAAGGGCAAGAATAGGAATGCAACGTTTGGAAACATCCTAAGGGACGAAGTGCAATTTCCAGAGCACGCAGGAGTGCAGCAGATCTCGAAGTAAGTCTGCCGTCGAGTATTGCTCTCATTCGTGCAAACTGACATTTTCATCCGCAGTTTATGCAAATCCCTGATCCGCAAGTTGTTGATCAAGGATGAAACCAAGCGTCTTGGCGCTCGAGCTGGGGCGTCGGATGTCAAGACTCATCCTTTCTTCCGGCAGACGCAATGGGCACTCATCCGCCATATGAAACCGCCCATGATTCCACACCAGAGTCGCGGAACGGACACGGCGAATTTCCGCAATGTCAAAGAGAGCGCCAGTGTCGATATTGGTGGGACTTCGAAGCCCAAGGGTGTCCCTCTGGAATCCGGCCTTGCCACGCCAAACGGAGAGGTGGCCGATCCTTTCGAGGAATTCAATAGTGTTACGCTTCATCATGACGGAGACTTTTAGCTGGTTGATCCATGAGCTCGCAACGACAATTATACGCTTTTTTTTTTTTTTTGGTCCTCCTGCGACAACACGAGACCGCCTGAGCGGCGCTTTCAGACCTCTGATGTGAGGTTACTTTCATGATCATGACGGCATGAAGATCTGGGTTCGAACGTTGATATTCTGTTGCACGTGTTAACTTGGAGTTTGGCGTGTCTAGACCTATCCAATTGGCTTTTATTCTTTCATCCTTCTTTTGTCAGGGCGATTGTGGACTTTCTCTCAGTTTTTTAGGACTGCGAGTCCTGTCTTCGGACGTTCTATGCTTTGTGGGCGATTTTCGGCTTTCTCATATTCTTTTCGATTCCACGACGCGACAGTTTCATCTTCCCATTCCATTACTGTCACTATTGCAGAAGACGGCGTTTTTCGATTTCGGTTATATTAGCGGACCAGTTCTGATCCATCCCGTCATTGGAGGTCAGCGTCGAGTGTACTAATTACTCGGCCGTGGATTATTCGACTATTTTGTGTTCATGTATCTGTTCTCCCCTGCAGAGACGAATGTTGTGACCGTCCATAGGAGGAGCTGGACTGGCCTCGGGACATGGAGTACTCAAGCGGTCACTGAATGGATTCTAGCATTTCTTGATTTCAGAAGATTAACAGCAATAGAAGTCTGTGTAGAATATTCGTGATCAATATTTGAGATTATAACTTAAATACTACGCAGTAGATACATGCTGGAGTGTTTTCCTCAGTGAGTTGGATGATCCCGCCATAACGCGACCCAAAGACCCAAACAAACAATCCTACCCCAATCAACAAATCAAGAGCAAACCACCTCATCACCTCATCTACGTCTAGACATCACAAACCGACGAACATTCAACAGTCCAAATCTCAATATCAGCTCCTTATCCGCCACATCCTCACAAATCCCAATGTCGTCCTTCGACGAAGACACCGCCAGCCGCGACTGCGCTCCCTCCTCCCCAATAACAAACGAAAATCCTCTCCTGCGCGCCTCGAACCCCCTCG